TTAAACACAGTCCATATCGCATCAAATCAGCAAGTCAAATTTTTTCCCAAAGATGAATGTTTTGATATTTTCAATAGATCTAGTTTATATTTAAAGCACCATTGTACATTGGCACTGTAAATACAGAGGAACAATCCCTCCCCATTTTTGCATTGATATCCCCAATTCCCACTATAAACTAAGGAATGTTTAGTTGCTGGGTCAAGTTGCATTCTTTTCTTAACCCTCAATTATTTTTCTATATTCCACTAATAAATTGTTTTTCATGACTACCGCAAGTCTGATTGCAAGGATTGAACTGGATTGTTCAAAACTTTACAATAATATCTTTCATAATAATAATCTTTACATTTGATACACCACCTTTTATGTCAGGAGGATATCTCAAAGCATTTCACAGGATCAAAACATACATCTTTGGGATTAGAGTTAACTTGCTATTTTTGATGGGATGTGTACTGTATTTAATGTTAGGTGCATCTGTGTATCTGTAGGCGTCAAGTGTAATCAACTTACTAATAACAAACTATTAATGTTTATATTATCTGCATAGGCTACAAATGTATGTAATATAAACACTGTGACATTTCTGCAAAGGAAAACAAAAATATCACAAGAATTAGTACACCTGCACGATGTATGTGAAGCAACATTAGAAAATAAGTCAAACACCAACAATTTCAAAGGGGCAACGATATCCCTATATTATAGGTCAATTGATAGTGCTCTCTGGGGCTCCAGTGTTAGCATTGTCCCCCTCATTCCCCGCCCCCACAAATCCCAACACGCGTGAACACAGGGAGAATATGTTACATTTTCCTTACAAAATTATTTTTGTGGTAATTAACATAAGGAATGCCTTAAGGAACACCGCAAACGTTGGCTTCTGATTCCAGACATGCACATTGATAGTGATCCAGTGCAGTAGAAAGACAGCACCTCTTTCTTAAATCATCTAAGTCAGATGACTTCCAACATCAGTCAGCAATTTTCCTTCTATTTGTGTGACCATTGCTTTTTTCCTGTGTTATTTACAGATAGGTTCACAAAAAAGTGGACCAATACAGAACAGTGCAGTCTGTTATAAATACGTGCATGTGCTGTCCTCCAAAGTAGTTTTTCTCTTACTCAATCACTCAAACAGATTGAAACAATCCTTTTAGCGTGTGGATCCCTCACGCAGCTTCACTGTGTGTAACCCACACACTGGGAATGAAACGGGAGTCTTATTGATCGAGGCGTGGGAGTATTATTGAGGGCAGTGAAGCCGGTGGAGCTCAGGCTCTGTTTTGTTTTGAATAGTTTGCGGTATTTTTAACTTTCTTGGCTCTGAACTTAAGACGCTGCACTCTGCACACACACACACACACACAAAATGCTCTGGAGTCACCCTCAATTGGCGTCATGTCCCGAAATATATCTTTGGAATGAAGTCATCGTATCCAAGACAATATCCCTCTGTGTACTTTGCATTTCCACGATGGGTGAGCAACTCAAGAGTTTCGTTGGCTGGGGGTGGGGTGGGAGGGGGTGGGGTGTTTTTTTTTCCATTTATTATTGAGCCAGCGGTAGATTTCGATAAACCGGTAACTAATTACAAAGCTTGTAAAAAAGCTTTGTTTCTTAAATTAAGAAGACTTCAGCGGCTTCACAGAGAGGAAAACAAAAAAATGTTTCCACTGTTATCGAGTTCAGCATCGTGTTATGTAGTTATTGCACTTCTAACGTTTAACTTTGCACCGAAACTTGAAGGTGTTAAGATCACCATACATTTGCAGAATGTGTTCGGTATCATTGGACTATTAGCAAATATATAGATAGCTATATATATATATATAGATAGATGCAGAAACCAACGAGTGAAACCCCAACGCTCCTCAAATGCATTTATTTTTACAGCGAACGTGGAAAGTCTGGAAGTTTGTTGCAAAATGTGTGGGTGCACTGTGACCAACATTACCAGTTTTTTCCATCGGCTTACAGAATAGAGTACATGACAACTTGACAACAAAAAATTCACATGGAAACTGCACGTGAATGCAATTGGGGAGGGTGGGTTGTGTGCGTGGGGAGAAATCCCCCCTTTCATTACCCTGATTTTTCATGTTATGTAATTTAATCATAAAGAATAATTGTATTTGATACAGCACCTTTCACATCAGGTTATTTAAAACTGCTTCACATGATTTGCTGTAGGGTGTGGTGACTTTATTTTATAGGTGAAAGCTGCAGCCGGTTTGCATGTAGCAATGTCCCACAGATAGCCATGAGGTGAATGATTAATTTTATTTGGGGGATTGCTGGCCTGAAAACTCCCTTCCTTTTATCAATAGTGCCTTGGGATCGTTAACATCCATCGGAGCATGCACAGATGGGTCCTCGGTTTAATGTCTCATCCGAAGGATGGCACCTTCAACAATACAGCATTCCCCAGTCCTGAGGGAGTTCAAATGAACCCACAATCTTCTGACTCAGAGGCAGGAGTACTATCAATTGATCCAGCCCTGGTTTGAAAGAAGAGGGAGCGAATAATCTGATGCCAAAAATGTTCTTCCAAACAGTCACCTAAATATGAGGTATGTTCAAATGCACTCACGGGTCAGTGGCTTTGAGTCTTACAGCGGTATTTGCCGTATCAAGGATGGTCAAACTTTTGGCTGCTGATAGCCAGAGAGCCCTATTTGAGAAACGTCTGCAGGCTGCATAATCAATATTTATGTGTTTCCCTTCCACAAACATAACATAATATTTATAAGTTATGGAGGGAGCGGGCAGGCTAAATTAAATGAAGGCAGGGGAGGTGGGGGGCAGATTAAATCAGCCCAAGGGCCGCCAGTTTGACCACCTTGCACCTAATAAACCATAATTGATGATGCCTTCACTTTACAAAATTGCCACTATTGTTTTTTTTTGTTTAGTTTATTTTGAGGAATAGATCCTGATGGGATGTGTCATTATCATGTATTTTAAAAAAAGTAATGACTGTAAAAGTAAAAACACAGAAAATTTCTGACACAGGTGGAAACCCATCACCCTGATTAAGAGTATCCAAACTGGACCAACAATTCCATGCATGGAAATCCCAGTTTGATTCGGATACTCTTAAGCATGGTGACATGTTTCCGCCTGTGTCAGACACAAGTCTGAACAAAAAAAAATGCATGCCATCTACTTGTGGAAATTCCTGTATCTGGAATCCAATAGGCATTTGGAGGGACACACTCTACTTACCAAATTCCCGAGTTTTAGCAAGAGCGTGTTGACAAGAGTCAAGGCTTGGGACCCCCACAGTGTGAGTTAGGCTGGTGCTGGAGTTTTAACAAGTTATATCACATAAGTTTGCCATTGAAAGCATTGTCCATCAAGCTTGCTGCTACTTGTCCAGCTAAAGCCATCCTACCTGTTAGAGTTTGGGTTTGTGGGGTTAACAAGAGCAAAGTGGGAATAATTCCAGTCCCCAGTGACTGGTAAAAATAATAAACAATATTGCAAAGAAAAACATTCCAAGTCAATGCTACATTTCGAGTTTGAACAGAGATTCGGAGAGATACACAGAGATTCAAAGCGATGCAGAGAGATACACAGAGATTCAGAGAGTTACAGAGAGATACACAGAGATTCAGAGAGTTACAGAGAGATACACAGAGATTCGGAGAGATACACAGAGATTCAGAGCGATGCAGAGAGATACACAGAGATTCAGAGCGATGCAGAGAGATACACAGAGATTCAGAGATTCAGAGCGATGCAGAGAGATACACAGAGATTCAGAGATTCAGAGCGATACAGAGAGATACACAGAGATTCAGAGCGATACACAGAGATACACAGAGATTCAGAGCGATACAGAGATACACAGAGATTCAGAGAGATACAGAGAGATACACAGAGATTCAGAGAGATACACAGAGATTCAGAAAGATACAGAGTGATACAGAGAGATACACAGAGAGATACAGAGAGATAAGAGAGATACACAGAGATTCAGAGCGATACACAGAGATACACAGAGATTCAGAGCGATGCAGAGAGATACACAGAGACAGATATACTGAGAGATACACAGAAACACACACATAGACATACAGAGAGCGATACATATAGAAACACAGAGAGAGAGGGGGGGGGGGGGGGGGGGGGGGGGTTAGAGAGGGAGGTGGGGAAAGAGACCAACAGAAACAGCTGTAAGAAAGTCCTCTCACCCGCGTCTACGCCTCGGGCAACCGGTTTAAATAATATATATATATGCACTTTATTTCTCTCTGTCCCCGCACCCCCCCCGCCGTTGCATTGCATCCCATCCCATTGCTGCCCTCCCCACTCGGGGGGGGGGGGGCGGTGACGGAGCTGTCCCGCTGTGTCTGAGCCGATGCAACTCACAAAGCCCCAAACCTGGTGTGCAGACAGACAGCGCACAGACAACACACAGACACACACACAGACAACACACAGACAGACAGACACACACACAGACAGACAGACAGACAGACAGACAGACAGACAGACAGACAGACACACACACACACAGACAACACACAGACAGACACACAGACAGACACACACACACACAGACAACACACAGACAGACAGCACACAGACAACACACACACAGACAGACACACACACACACAGACAACACACAGACAGACACACACAGACACACACACACAGACAGACACACACACACACAGACAACACACAGACAGACACACACACACACACAAACAACACACAGACAGACACACACACAGACAGCACACACACACACAGACAGCACACACACAGACAGACACACACACACACAGACAACACACAGACAGACAGACACACACACACACACAGACAGCACACAGACAGACACACACACAGACACACACACAGACAGACAGCACACAGACAGACACAGACAACACACAGACACACACACACAGACAACACACAGACAGACAGACAGACAGACAGACACACACACACAGACAGACAGCACACACACACAGACAGACAGACAGACAGACAGCGAGACGAGCAGCGTGAGAACTCCCTCGGAGAGGTGAGTCAGTGAGAACGAGAGCCGCCGGTGAATGCAGTTTTCAGAATGACTTCTCCCCCTCCGTGTGAGTGAGTGTGTGATGTGATGTGTGCGATGTGTCGTTGTATTTCATTGATATGCACTGCAATGTGCAGTGTTGTGTGTTGGTTGGTGGGAAGTGAGGGCTGACGTGTTATTAAAGCCATTGACTGCACACCTCCCCCCCCCCCTCCCTCCCTCCCTCCCCCTCCTCTTCCACACACCACTCTCTCCATCCTCTCTCCCTCTTTCTCTCCATCCTCTCTCCCTCTCTCTCTCTCCATCCTCTCTCCCTCTCTCTCTCTCCATCCTCTCTCCCTCTCTCTCTCTCTCTCTCTCCACTCTCTCCACTCTTGTCAGTGTTATCTGCAGTGAGGGAACCAGGCGATGTCGGCGACTGACATGATATGACATGATATGACATGACATGACATGATGTGACATGGATGGGTTTGCTGTCCTGGCGTCTGGGAGGTAAATACCACGAATCTGCTCTCTGTGTCACACGACTCCCAACGTTGGGATGTTTTTAAAACATTTTTGTTGTTGTTGTTGTTGTCTCTCGTCACTCTTCTCCCCCAAACCTGCTCCCCTCCTCGTTTCTACTTCCCCTCCACCTCCCTCCCTCCCTCCCTCTCTCTCTCTCATCCCTCCCTCTCTCTCTCTCTCTCCCCTCTCTCTCTCTCTCCCCCTCTCCCATCCCTCTCTCTCCTCTCTCCCTCCTTCTCCCCCTCCCATCCCTCTCTCCCCCTCCCATTCCTCTCTCTCTCTCTCTCTCCCTCCTTCTCCCTCTCCCATCCCTCTCTCCCTCTCTCTCTCGTGCGAAATCTGCCTGTCCGCCGCTGTGTGACCCGAAGCCAATCCCCCCCCCACCCGAGGCTGATGCAGTCCCCCCCCCCCCCACCACCCCCTGAGGGCTGATGCAGACCCCCCCCCCCTCTGGGCTGATGCAGTCCCCCCCCTCACCACCCCTGAGGGCTGATGCAGTCCCCCCCCCCCCCTGAGGGCTGATGCAGGTCCCCCCCCCCCACCCCCCTGAGGGCTGATGCAGTCCCCCCCCCCCCCCCCCCCTCTGGGCTGATGCAGTCCCCCCCCCCCCCCTCTGGGCTGATGCAGTCCCCCCCCCCCCAGGGCTGATGCAGTCCCCCCCCCCCCCCTGGGCTGATGCAGTCCCCCCCCCCCCCCCTCTGGCTGATGCAGTCCCCCCCCGAGGGCTGATGCAGTCCCCCCCCCCCCCCCTCTGGGCTGATGCAGTCCCCCCCCCCCCCCTCTGGGCTGATGCAGTCCCCCCCCCCCCCCCCTCTGGGCTGATGCAGTCCCCCCCCCTCTGGGCTGATGCAGTCCCCCCCCCCCCCCCCCCTGGGCTGATGCAGTCCCCCCCCCCCCCCTCTGGGCTGATGCAGTCCCCCCCCTCTGGGCTGATGCAGTCCCCCCCCCTCTGGGCTGATGCAGTCCCCCCCCCCCCCCCCCTCTGGGCTGATGCAGTCCCCCCCCCCCCCCCTCTGGGCTGATGCAGTCGCACAGTTGTGAATATAAATGCCAATAAGTTGCTCTGCAGTCGGGACAAAGTTGCCGATCGGGATGTAAGACACTTGTTTTATTTGCCCGTAATCGAGCCTTTGATTTTGACTTTGAAGCCCTCCGACCGGTGCGGGGCCGCTGCAGACCAGGGATTTGGGGTTTTTTTAAAAAAAAGAAATCTGTTCCACTTTATTTTCTTCCGCTTAAATAATGTGAGTGTTTCCAATGTTCCGCGTTTTGTTTCTGCGTCTTCAACGGGAAGAGTGTTTTGTGCATTGATGGAGGCAATGCTTCTACTGATAAGAGAGAGAGACACACATACAGACACACACAGAGACACACACACACACAGAGAGAGACACACACACAGACAGACAGACAGACAGACAGACACACAGACAGACACACACACACACACACACAGACAGACACACACAGAGACACACACACACACAGAGAGACACACACACAGAGACACACACACAGACACACACACAGACAGACACACACAGAGAGACACACACACAGACAGACACACACAGACAGATACACACACAGACACACACAGAGAGACACATACAGAGACACACACACAGAGAGACACAGAAACAGACACACATACACAGAGAGAGAGAGAGACACACACACACACAGACAGACACAGACACACATACAGAGAAAGTCTTTGTTTGAACACTGGACCATTCAATTGCACCTGAACTGTAACGCTGTGATGTGATGATTGCGCTCTCTGCTCCGTGTCTCAGTGCACAGGGAACAGAACGATTCAGCATTGGTTTGAGATGTGTGGCTTTGAGCAACCGACCTGTTCTCGGACGCAAATTAAGTGTGTGAGTGTGTGTGTGAGAGTGTGTGTGTAAAAAAAAATAGACTGCAAAAGGCGTGACAAGTTTTTGCCCTATCAATCATGTATTGCTTCAAAGTTCATTCGAAACACCTGAAATGCTTTGGGGGGGCTGTTTTGGGGGCTGCCCTTAATGTTCTGTTTTGCACTTCTCTCCCTCCCACCAATTTTGCACCAATTTTGACTTGAAATGCAACGCTTTCCATTTTCAAAGTAAGTGCAGTTGCAGGTGAAGTAACAGGTAACACCTGAGCTTAAGTAACCACCTTAGTTGCACGGTTAAGAGGCTTGCAAATTTTTTTTTTTATTTAAAAAAGATTGATCTCCTGATCTTCTTCAAAAGAGAAGGGATTTTCTCCAGTGTCCTGACCAACAATCTCCCACATAACGTTTGTCATTCACTTCATGGCTGTTTGTGGGACATTTGCTGTGTGAGAATTGACTACCTTGTTTGCCTACAAATAAAGTCACTACACTTTACAGTGGAGTAAATTCCATGAAGTGCTTTGAGATGTTTTGACAGCGTGATAAGGCTCTGTATAAAATGGAAGGATTATTTGTATCATTATAACCTAGTCCTATTAGTTGTCAACTAATAGGTGGTTCTGCTCCAGTCACTGCTTGTCTAACAGATGGATGTCATTATTGTCCCGACATAGTATTTAATGGTGCAAACCATGAAGATGAGTAAGCAAGACATCACAGCGATCCATATATAGATAAGCTTCCCATTTTATTGTACGATCGAAAGAGTATGTAAGTTTTACAATTTGATATGGGGAAGGTGTGTGTGTGAGAGAGAGAGAGAGAAAGAGATGGGGGGAACGAGAGAGATTGTTTTCTGTTTGTAGGCTTGAACATTTCAGCATATGCAGTATTCATTCTAGTGCCATTTTTGTTGGAGGTGGAATTGATCTTTTACAATTAAGCATGTATTGATTTCAACTTGGTTTGCATGTTTTTTTTCCATTCGCAGGCAGTTTGCTGCCTGCAAAATCTTGGCAGTAGCAAGTTTCATCATAAACCATACACTGGTGCCCACTTTCCCTCCCCTCCCCCCTTTAATTTGCCTGCATATCTTTTGTGCCATGCAAAGGGGGCATTTCCAGTTGATTTTGCTTCATACCTTGCTTGTCTCAATCTTGCCACCAAAATAAATGCAATAATAATAATCCTTACATTTGATATAGCGCCTTATCACGTTGTTGAGACATATCAAAGCGCTTCACAGAATATATTGTGAAATTAATCGACTGTGTATTTTGTGGGCAAAACACGGCAGTCAGTCATGCACAGCAGTGACCCACAAACATGGATTAAACTGAAGATAGGTATCCTTCTGTGCCATAATGTTCTATTTAAGTTTACGTTGCAGTGGGTCAGCTGATTCATTGGAAGTGTGACTTTTTTTTAGTAGCATTTTTGCCGCCGGCAATTAAATTATAATTGTCAGTTGAGTGGTTCCCAGTGGCCTTGCGAGGAGTATTTGTGGGTTCTTGGCTTACATTAAATTTTTGTGACACGGCTTCACTGCTTTTTGTGCCTTTTTTGGGTCACGTGGGCAAGCGGGTTTTGAAAACAGCAAGCTCTTGAAGAAACGTGAAATAGCTGTTGACTGTACTCAGGGTTCAAAGACTGAACCCAAAGTGTTTGCATCCAAAATAAACGGTTCTTGTTTCGCCATTTGTCCTCGGTTTGACTCGGATGATCGGACACTTGCTCCCAAGTGAACACATGAAACAAAGAGCAGTAGGAAAATGACTCAAGCTGCAGTGTTTTTGACAGTCAGAACGGGACTGAGGAGGGTTGATTTTTGTCATAGGAAAATGTGAGGGAGGGAACCGTTATTTGTTTTGTCAGAGAAGTTAACCCCTGGCTGGCAACGTAAAATAATTCTAACTAATTGCTTCAAAAGTTAGGTAAAGTGAAACTCCCTCTGGTTAAAATAGGCCGCTTGTTCACTAAATACCCATCGCCATGGCATTGCATTTACATATCCACTTTCCATTTGTAAAATGTAATTTGAAGTTTGCAGACAATGTGCCGACGAGATCTTTTTCAAATATCCCGAAAGCAAAAAGCAACAGCGAGAATTTCAATGTTGAGACTTGAGAGGAAACTTTTTTTTAAATCAATAAAGCAATTGTTTTACAAATCAAATAACGCTTGGAAATATGCTGCTCTTTGTTGCAGCTTGTTTTGTCCCTGTATGTGTGAATGGCTCGGAGCTCTGATCCTGTCATTTTATTCTGCTCCATTCCCATTTGATTCACTGTGTTCAACCTTGTGTTTTGACATGGACCGAAAAGAATAGTTAAAAGTATTCATCATCATAGCATTAAAAAATGATTTTTTTTCCAAAACCAATATCCAGCAGGATAAATTGTTCTTTCCTTTTTTTAAAAACCTTTTTTTTTAAAAGTCATCTTCCAACCCCTCTTGTCATCTCTCCCCTCCCCAGATTTTTTACCATAAAAAATTCATGAGCAGAATGTGGTGCATCTCTGTTGCACTCTGAGAACACTATCCTATGAAGGGCGCTATATAAATGTTATATAAAAGTTGATGTTGTGCATCTTAACTCTTCATATTCACAAATTCTACAATTATTTCGGCATTACTAGGTCAGTTACAAAGTCTCACCAAATAACTGAGTATCACTAGTTTGGGAATTAGTTTGTCCCAAACCGTCTCATGCGGCATTCCTCAGGGCTCTGCCCCTAGTTCCCTCCTCTTCAATATCTATATGCTCCCCACTTGGTGACATCGTCCGCAGACATGGGGTCAACTTCCACATGTATGCGGATGACACCCAATTGTACCTCTCTGCCTCCACCCTTGACTCCAGGACCACTGCTGTGCTGACAGAATGTCTGTCAGACATCAAGTCCTGGATGAGAGCTAACTTTCTTCAGTTGAACATCAACAAGACCGAGGCTCTCCTGATTGGCTCCCGTCAGCGCCTCCTCACCTCAGGCGCTGACAGCATCACCTTTCATGGTTGCACATTCCACCTTGCTAAGCCAGTCCAAAACCTTGGGGTCTTGTTCGACCCTCAACTATCCTTTCTACCCCACATTCGCGCCAT